AAAAAATTCATGGTGGTTGCCAAGATATCTTTGCTCAAAGTTGCAAAAATTTTGCCACAGCTATTATTTTGATAGACATTTTAAATATTTTCAAACCACTGAGTGTAAATATCTTGATAACTTTCCAATTAAATTCAACCAATTTTTTCTATTTCGATTCTACAGAGCTATACTATCAAAATAGAAAATTTATACTAAATTTAGTTGGGTGGCATCAAGATATCTTTGCTCAAAGTCATGAAAATTTTAAATTAGTATCATCACGTGACTTGAATTGTTCCTAAGATCTGTCCGTAGATCCTCCGATATTGAACGGTTCCCCCTGTTCAATCACGTGTCCGTTCCACTAAACCATCTGAATTTGGAAACGATCTTTTCCCCACTTTTTTTTGAAAACACTATTATAAAAATTATTGAATTTTTAACATACCGATACTAAAATCTTAAAATTTTTAAATATAATTGAAATATTACCAAAAAAAATTCACAATCTAGGCTAATTGTTTGAGGCTGTAAAACTTCTCTGTGATAAGATATAGATGCGAAAAAACTTTTGTTTAACACCGTAAATTCTCTAACAAAATATAGTTTAGCTAAAAAATTTATTAACTTTTTAGAATTTATTTTTATTTCTTAGCCAAAAAATTTATTAAATTTTTTAGAATTTATTATTTTTATTTTTTTTGATTTGGTTTAAAGAGTTATAATTTGAGGTTTTTTTTTTTTAATAAGTAAAAATGAGTATAAAAAATACGGATATCAATTACCCACCCATTATCCAACCAAACTCAGATTATCATATACAATTAATAGCAAAATAATTTTCGCGTCATATTATTTGGAAAAGCTACCTTTCGTAATGTTAGTGGTTTTACTGACGTAATCCTAAATGAATAAAAACTCTCAAAAATTGGGTTCGCAAAAAAAAAAAAAAAAAAGGATAAATTTAATTTATAAAATGATATATCTGAGATAAATCCTGCGAAAAAGATTATATCCTTAAATAATGCATATAGACTAAGAGTAAATATCATAATGATTGTAGATGCTGAAATTAATAAAATGAATTTAATCCACACAAAATATAATATTGAATATTTATGGTGATGCAAGAAATTTGCCACTGGTTATTTGACAAAGAATACGCTGAAATTTAAATGTATTTTCATATTCTGAACTACCATTTTGTTTAAGGATGCCATTTCCATTTGGTATATCTTGTACAATTTCTAAAGAAATGTTACTTAATAATTGTCCTTCACATAAAAACTTAACAGCAGCTGGCGCCGGCTGAGAAGTTTGCGATGTCTCAAATCGAGCCAAAATTCTTTTTTGTTCATAAGGAGTGGCCAGATCTGCATTACTAACTTGCCAATACATTCTTTGCTTCTCTACACTCCATACACCAGTTGGTTTAGATTGTACTGTTTTAACTTCCCCGTCAACAGGTATCATGAAAGAAAGCTCGGCCAATGTTCCGGAAAGTCTGAATTCAGGGTTAACTTCATAAGAAACAACTAAAGAGGTTTGATTTGGTTCACATTTCCATTTTGGAGTAACGTGAAGTGGTACATAGGTGCTTTTGTGTTGAGGATCAATACGAAGTTGATATTTCATCACAACCACCGGCGTACCACCAGCTTGAGATAACAATTCAATATTAAGATCATAGACTCCAGCAACTTCTGGAACAGGTGAAAGATAAGACACATTCGGAACAGCTTTTTCTAGTGTGTCAAAATTATTTATTCGAACCCGAATCGGCGTCGAATTGTCTCGTATCATCGAATCATTGTATGTTACGCTGATTTCGCCTGTCACTAGTAGCTTTGTCACATCACCTCCTTTCGATATTATATTAACTGTTTCTAATATAGATGCATTTAATCCATGTGCTTTTGTTTGAATATCAGTATTAATTCCTTGATAATTTATAGTATCGGGTAATTCACACGTCGGTGATGACGTTACAATGTTGTCAGAAATTTCTGAAACAGTAGGCGTATCAACATGAATATTATCTGAACTAAATATTGTACTTTTCGTTGTGCTATAAGTTTAAAATAAATATTTGAATAAAATATTGATAAAATAGTCAAATTTATAAAGCAGAAATTTTAAACTTACTCTCGACGACCACGAACAGCTCGTTGTTTGATTGTTGGAGTCTAATATAAAGATAGAATATTAATCATGCAAGAATCAAATTAATTCCTTCGATAGAACCTAATTTCCATATTACCGATTTGAGTGTCGTCATTACAAGAGAAATCGCCGCGGCAGCCTCCGCTTCGTTCGCCTCAGGAATGGGTGGCTTGATCTCAACGCGTATGGCCTTATCCTGTGCAGCTAACGAACTATATGTATAATTAGCAAAATTTGATTAACCAAAGAATAAATGTAATATTTGGAGAGATCTCAAATGGCAAATATTTACCCCTGCGCACCATCTGAACGGGCATCTGAATCATTCTCATCATTTGAAGAAAAGCCATCCCATGGCTTAGATTCAGGAGGTATCGAATATCCTTCCGAGTCAACAAGAACTTTTGACTAAATAAATAAATATTAATTCTTATTTCTGTTAAAAGCCTGGTTTCAAAATTTGGTCCATATTATGGAATGTACATATATATGTGATGTATATAATACAATATAGGACATTCCATTTATATAATCAGTATGTTTTATATTTGATAAACTTATGAGTCATACATACCACAGACATTTCACTTGGTGGTGAAACTTCATTTTGTAAAATAAAAGAGGAATTAGAAGGACTTCGTAATCCATCACTTCCACTCCGTGCATTGTCACTATCCAGTCGTTGCGAATATACAGATTCCCTAATAACGATATATATTCGTTACAAAGTATGCAAAATCTTTATTTACCACGAAAAAAATTATTACATACGAATGTGCTGATGCAGTTCTTTTGCGTCGTATAGTTCCTAGAGCGCTTTTGACTTGAACGATATAATATTAGTAAATACGATAATTTTCATCAAATAGCGAAAACAATGTTTTTAATATGTAATTATATACATGGATTGTTTGAAGATGAATTAGGTAGTTCTTCAAGAGAGGTTCCTATATTAAAAAAAGCGGACAAAATATTTTAGCATATTGTGTATTTCGAATAGTGACGCTCATGTTCTCCCTAAACATACGCTGAATTTATCCCAAATAACAAATAACCTCCCACCAAACTTTTTATAATAATAAAAAATTATCTGAAAAACCTTCAGCAACATGCAAACTATTAGAACAAAATTCTTCAATTTCAGTCTGCACATCGAATTCCATAAGTGTATTCATACTCCGTTCAGCCATCTATAAACCAAAATAAACCAAAATGGTGATGTGGAAATCAAGTATATTATATAAAAATTATAATACATATAAAACTAAATATACCACAACTCCTCTTTGATATGATTCAGCTTGTGCTGTCTCAAAACGTACGAGCATTTCTTTAATATTCATTAAACGCCTTGTATCAACTACTTGAGATTTCTGCGACGAAAAAAAAATATGTTAGGATGAAATATTTGTGTGATTGTACAATATTATCGGAAGGAAAAATAATCAAAAAAAATACTTCGAGGTACTCCGACAAACAAGAACGCCATTCTGCTTGAGTTTGGTCCAGAGCTTTTTGGGCCTCAGTTAATTTACTTTCTTCAATGTTAGATCCAAAAGATTGTATCAATGAAAAATATACTAGTATAGAATATGAATGTTATATAAAGTTATTTTACCGAAGGATCCAGCTTTCTTTCCAGATGATTTTTCAGTTTTTATTTTATGCTATTATGATCATATAAAGAATTATTAAATTATGGATATATATTTATTTATTCTGCAAATTATTGAATATCATACCTTGTTGACTTTTGTCAGCTTTTCTTCATATTCTCGTGCTAGTTTGCTTAGATTACTTTCAAGCTAAAAATATATATTAAATTGTAACTAATTCTAATGATATATTACCGAATGCTAGAAATTGCTATAGTGTTATATAAAATTTAATTACATTTTTTAATTGTGTCCATCCTGGATCAGATGTTGCTTGTTCACGTAAAGGATGATCAATTTCTTCGTTCATCATTACATAAAGCGAAGCATGAATACTAACTATATCATTAAGCTCGGAAAAAATTGCATTCCAGACGCTTGCAAAAGAACTGAATGTTTCAAAAAAATCATTAATAAACTATTCGTAAATAGTAGATTAATATATTAATATATTAATATTCTAACTTACCCCAAATTAGACTTATCTATTAATGGCGTCTTATTTGCTAATTTTTGAAGGCTTCTTACATAATTGTCTTCGATTATAGCACTAAATTCGAAAGTCGGGGAATAACAGTCAGTAAGATAATTTTCGGAGAACATACACTTTATTATTAAAAGATCTAATACCGTTCTTTAAAATAATCGGCAATTTCCTGATTTAATGCTTTTGCCCGTCTTAGTCTTAACTGAACCACATCAAAAGAATGTTTTGGACGGTCGTTCTATCAGGAAACAGAAGTAAAGTATTAAATTTTTAGTTTTTCATCAGTATAAGAAGCATGAACTGAAGAAGTTACCAGAAAAGCTTGAAGATAAGACATCGTGTCTTACACAGACACAGCTTAAAATTGGTAAAATTTAAAGTGTTTAACAAGTTTGTTGGCCAACTTCGCTTAAAGTTTCGAAAATTAATATTATATATTTGTTCATTGCTAATTACTACCGTTGTAAATAACTAATAACCAGCAGGGTACACGAATTCTATCCAATCAAAACCGGCTCGGACAATGACACTTAAAAAAAATCTACACACCGCCAGTTGGGCGTATCTCAATTTTTTTTTTCTTTTTTTTCAAATTTTTTTTTTTGACTCAAGAACTGTTTTTTCTTTTATTGTATACAGTAGTTTGAAGATCCAAAACACACCTACCTTTGAAGGCAAGCTCTTTTCGGTAAAGTATTTTCCCAGCGCAAGAGACTTTATTTTAATATTTTGACTGCGCCCCAAAAGTTTCTTTACGTTATCGTTATTCCGTTCCTGCACTTTCTAAGATGGCATTTAGTTTCGTTTATAAACTTTTTGTGTTTTTTGAAAAGTATGTGTTTTTCACTAACGTCACTTATTCATTTCCTTTTATGACGTCTTTTTTTAAAAAGTATATCATGCCCAAGGACAGAAGACACAAGCAAGGCTATCGAAAGAAACTTCGTTTCAACAATAATCGATTCATGCGTAAAATAGCGTTTAAACCAACCAGCTCTCAACTAGCCGACAATAATGCGTATGATCCTCAGAATCCTCAACTTACAACAGTTACTCAAAATCCACTCGATATTGGCAATAATAATGGTGATAGCGACAAATCGATTAATCCGATTACGTTCCTCAATACCTTGCATCACAAGTTAAAGACGCCGAATCCACCACATTACGATTGCACTCCGGATCCTCAGGGCGGTGGTTTTTATTGTACATTGGTGTTCTTTGATCAAACATTTAAATCAACAGTTCCTAAGCCAAAGAAACAACTGGCCAAAGAAGCTGTCGCAACTGTTGCCATGGAAAGTTTTGAGAAGCAAATGACCAAAACTTTTCAACAAGTCCGTCAGACTTTGCTTTCAGCTAATTCAGCCCCTAAAAAGCCGTCAAAGTTGTCGAAAGGAAGTCGGCAGTTCAATAGAATGTTGCATTCGACTGATACGTTAACTCAGTCTGCTCAGTGGCTAAGAAAATTTATGGACACACATGTGGAAAAAAGACCATGCGTTATGCTTCTGGAATTTTGTCAGTTTCATCAACTTGGTCACCCTGTTTATCCTACTAGAACGGACATGAAAGGGTTCGTCTATATGGATTGCGTTGTTGCCAAACGGATATTTACTCCAGAGGTTCCTTTTTTTAATAAAAAAGAAGCAAAAGATTACATTTCCGACAAAGCTTTTAATATTCTTTATCAAGAATTTCTTGAACAAGAACAACGTCAAGTAGATGAAAGAATGAGACCTGAAAGAAGCAAACTCGATTTCCCTTCTGGTGACGCACCATCAAGCACCGTAACGTTCGTTCCGCAAGTATTCACTTCGGACAACAATGAAAAAACTACATTTCTCACGGCACCTCCAGCCACTACAAGTGCTGCCAGTATCGGTTCGTACAACACCACAACTAGTATCCCACCACTTCCCGCTGTTAGTTCTCAAGGAATGAGCAGTAATTATGATTATACAAATAATGGTGTGTCAACATTTTCGACCCTTGATTCTCGAGGAAGTGGTAGCAAAAGTGGTTCTTCTACCGAAACTTACAGAGAAACTCAACCGAGTTTTGCTTGGTCGAATGCCAGTGAGCTAGGACCTCCGCCAACGAGTGCTTTACTTGAGAATGCTTTGCATCAAACATCTCAAGCTACTTTTCGACCTCCAACCGTTACAACTTCGTCACAAGTGGTATTTCCAACTATCGGATTTAATTCCTATCAGCCTCCACAACAGCCTCAGATTCCTCCAGTTCGCTATCAACCTCCTCAGCAACCGCTATTGCCTTCGGTACCTTTTCAGCCTCTACAACAGCCTCCGATGCTTTCAGCACCTTACCAACAACTTCCATTGCCCACGTTGCCCTATCAGCCCCCTCAGCCATCTCAGTTTTCTCAGCGTCCTCGTAAATTAAAAAAGAAAAGTCCATTGCATAAAGGGGCGTATATTTATAAGAGATATATTAGTTTGCTATTCGAATTCGCGCAAGCTCAACATTGGGCAAATCCGGAATTCGAATTTCAAAATATGTTTGGCGAATTCAAGGGCATGGTAACTATCAATGGCCGCACTTTTGTTGGTACCAAATTGTGCAAAAAGAAAAGTGAGGCTAAGGAAGATGTTGCCGAAGTTGCTTACAAATTCTTTGTGGATAATCCCATTTATATGTAAATGGGAAGGATATGAGCTGTTAGTCACAGTTGGTGATGGTTTATTTGGATGGAAATGAGTAAAACCCATAAATATCAGGCATATATGCTTTGTTTTTGCAAACAAAATCAACAATGTAGTGTCTTTCATTGACAAAAGCTCATATCACCTTCACCGTAAATATTTTTGTACCTTTTACATAAAATGGGTTGTAATCAACTAATAAACAGGTCAGTATATTGGATCAAGTTTAGTGTACGGGACTTTCGGAAATTTTACCTGAGGGGTCCCGAGACTATAATAATTTGTTATGTGGAAATCACGTGACCAGAATTTCTGGACTCCTACTAGATCACGTGAATTTACACCTACCAATATGCATATAATATCGTAATAATACTGTAATATATCTGATATCGTTTATAATATATATGTACGTACGTACTGTACATATATACTCTGAAAGTATATCACTGTTACACAAAACCATAACATAAATTTATTTAAAAAAGCATAATAAATTAATATCACAGTATTAATCGTTAAACGTATATATAAGAAAAAAGATTGGTTTGTCGTTATTTTAACTTTAACCATGTCGGAACTTTTCAATTAACCGAATTTGAAAAGGCCAAGTTGTTGCAGCATATAACCTCGAAGCTACTTTTTTTGTATATACAGGAAATTTATGGCATTTTTTCGTGTAACTATTATATGCATTCTGAGTTCATTGTATTTTTTGAAAAACTAATAATTTTCATATTAATAAAACTAGTAGATGTAATTACGCGTACTAAAACAATATTGACGTTCTTTTCACAATACTTTCATAAAATGACTGATTTGCCTAACGTGAATGATGAATTTTTAACTTTGGAAGCCCTTGAAGAAGCTGCACAGGCTGCTTCTAAGGCACAAGACAAGGCTTTGCCTTTTCAAGACGAAATAGTAATTTGGGAAGGAAATAATGGCAGATCACCTACGTTGTCTTGCAGTGTACAAAAGGCGGAAATTGGCGAAACAATTGAGGTATTACCATGAAATCACGTAAAAGAAAGTCAAAAACTAAGCGAATTTGTTGTCCTGTTTTTATTAGGGCTACTGTTTACCAAAAAACAGTTGTCCATTGTTTGGATTATCACAAAAACCGAATATGTTCATAATCATCCACTACTTCAAGCAGATGAGATAGTAAGCCTTCCTCAACATAGAAACTTGAGCGTGATTAGAGAAAGCTCTTACATGAACTATCAATCAGATTAGTAACGGGTTTAATAAGAAATGAAATGCTCATTTAAATTTATTTGTTAGATACATTACATCTAGTAGAACAATACTCGTCAAATAATTGACTAATCAATACAAAACAAAAAAAAAATTAGGTGCACTTACTAAATCCTCGAGCAGTAAAATCAAAAACAGACAACTTATTCATGATTATTATTGACTAAGTTCACGTAAATAAGTATCGGTACACGTGGCTCTCGAAATAGCGGAGGCCATGGTTCCAGTCCTTTGTTCCGTTATATCAAAAGCTCCATAATATCAAATTCTCATGATATATCAATATATTATAGTAGATCATAAATTTAGTTCCATTATAATTCTAGTCCGCGAGAGCCACGTGTATAGTGTATTAGAAAAGTACCTGGGCCTTATCTATATTGGCTGTATTATAGGCACATGGTGTTACAGACGGAAAATGCATGTTTTTTGATATTCCTATTATAAATGTATTAAGAACTTATCCGACAAACTCATATGATCATGAAAAACTTTCTTTTTTTCATGTGTTACGATGTAATTATGTTTTTCCAAAAAAAAAATCAGCGAGTGACTCCCTACCAATCATGATCATAAATTGTGGCAAAAATTTGTGAATAACGGCAATTTGGTTCAACCGGACAAATGATTGTCTGACACGTGCCGCTTCGCGGCATTTGTCAGCCAGTCATTTGCCCAAATTGCCGTTATAATGTATACGTATTTTCGATCATCAAAAGAATGCAGACAAAAAAGGCATAACATACAACACGAATCTGAAGTAGGAATGTGATTGGTTAATTAACGTGTTGATTATAAAAAAAATCCTTACAACATTTTAAGTTTCGTCCGGCTTTAATAATAATCTTTAACCCTTGAGCATTTTTCACCGTACTTCTAACCCTAACCCTTACAAACGAAGGTTGTTCTTCCCACAGTATTTAGTGTTCTTGCACTAACCACCTGACTAGATGAGCAGGTGCTCTGATAAAAGATATAATTCTAAAGAATGGATCAGTGTTCTATACTAACCACTCGACTAGATGAGCGAGTGCTCTGGTATAGTTGTAAATCTGAATAAACCGAGTTGTGTCTTCAGTATTCTGCACCAATCACCTGTTTAGTTGTTTTGGTAAAGTTATAAATCTGAGGAAATAAAGTTGTATTAACTTTACCGGTTTCCAGTATTCTGCACTAACCACCCGACTAGACGAGCGGGTGCTCTGGTAAAGTATGTAAATCTGAGGTCTTAAGGTCAATCTTTGCTTGATAAATATATATATTTGCAATCTCTGGATCTTTATAGCCGATTTTCTCTTAAAGATTAGAACTGGCGGTCGGTGCAACATTCTCTCATTGGGGTTTAGATTAGGTTTATTGCTAGTTATATATAAAAAATTCTATTGAATTTATAGGATTTTCCGTTTAATTCGCTATTTTTTTATATAAGAAGTTTATATGTTGTGCTCGCCGGTTTTCTCTTTTCAAAGCGAGGATAAATGTGCACTAGAGAAATGATAAGGTTCTTCACAGAAAAAGTAACCTGACTATTTGGGTGCGTCTCTAGCGACATTTGAATCTGTGCCCGGTTTGTCGATCATCATGCACGTTTGTGTAACATCTACGTTGAAGATCCTATTAAATAAAATTCGAAGTTTTTTAAAACTTCTAGCGATAATTTCTCAATAACTACTTAAATTAATTCAGTAAAATTTTTTTTTATTTTAATTTCATAATGTTATAGAATTAAAATAAAAAAAGTTCATTAAATTTGGTTTAGTAGGTTTTAAAAAATCATCGCAAAAAGTTAAAAAAAATCCTTGAAAAAAACAAATCGGCGAAAATTTTCTTTATTTGAACTTTAAACGATAATTTCTCGATACTAAATTTAATGAATTTTTTTAATCTTAATTCTAGGAGTTAATAGAATTATAATAAAAGAAAATTATCAAATTTGGATAGCTGGTTGTTGAGAAATATTCATTAAAAGCTAAAAAAAAATTGACTGCAGTTTTTATTTATAGGTATCTAAACTTTAAATGAAGATTACTTGGCACTTTCTAGACAAATTCGATCAAGTTTTTTTTTATTTTAATTCTATATACTCATAGAATTAAAATAAAACAATTTGATCAAATATAACTAAATAAGTGCCAAGTAATCTTCATTCAAAGTTTAGGTTTCTATGATATAAATATAAACTAAGGTTAATTTTTTTTTGGCTTTTAATAAATATTTCTCAACAACTAGCTATTAAAATTCAATTAATTTTTTTTTATTTTAATTCTATGATCCCTCAGAATTAAAATAAAAAAAATCCATCAAATTTGGATAGGTTAATATCGAAAAATCGTCATTTAAAGTTCAAATTTTGTTTTTTTTCAAAGATTTTTGGAGGTTTTTTTAACTTTTTATGATGATTTCTCAAAATTTACTAAACCAAATTTAATAAATTTTTATATTTTAATTCTATAACATTATAAAATTAAAATAAAAAAAATTTCACTATATGCGTTATTTCAAAATAATAGCTTATTTTCTAAATCCAACTCTATAAAAAAGTTGATTCTGTTTTATATTCTATGTTTTTTCGTAAATGTTACATATTCACAGAATTTATAACCTTAAATCATGGAGACTATTAAGCATGTCAAGATTTTGTTGATCACATTGCAGATTCACAGAGTTTTCTCGAAAAATATGGGAATAAAACATATAATCCACTCTGGAGTACTCCAGAAGTGGGTTATATGTTTTATTAATGTCTGGAGTGCACCCTAAACAGTCAACATTTCATAACTGCACATTTTTGGATAAAAGTACTTTTATAGAATATTCATTTATAGGCATAATTTATACAGTCATGCTTTCATATAATCACCTCCTATACAATCACAAACTCTATGTAATTTTATACAAATATTTTTTTTAATAATAAAAATACTTCTATATAGTCACAAACATAATACTATCATTATCACATTTTTTTAAGAAGTTTTTTACTCCAATTTATAAAAAAAATACTTCTTTATAATCACATTTGCTTTATTGTTAAAAATATATAATTGTGATTGGCTAATAAAAGATAGCAGGGCCAATAGTAAAACCTGAGTTTATTACCATATCACAGCGAAATAACAATGAGCGTTATTTCAAGGTTCGGCCTGAATTAGGTTTAATTTAGACCAGAATTCATTATTTAACCCTGCGTAGTAATATGGTAGTAACTTTCTTATAATTGGGCTATATGTGGTTTTTAATAGAGTAAACAGAATAGATGAGATACCCATTAATCTTTACATTTTTAGCCCCCATAATTGCCTGCATACATATATCGAAAGTTCGAAGATTATTAATATTTATATATATATAATACGTCGGCCATTTAGAGGTAGTACAAGATCGTAATTCCAAAGGACCCCAAAAAGTGAGCGAAAAAATAAAAGGATAGAGTCCATGTACTAAAAAGAATAATATTTTTCAAAGATTATTGAACAAAGATTAATAATTTATTGAGAAAATGCAAATTGCAGACAAATTTGCCTGCAAAACAGAGTAAGGGATAATTGGCATAATTAAGAGATGTTAATTGATCCCGCAATAATTGTCAGACAAGATTTGTAAAGAATTGGAATTTTTAGTTAGACCATCTCTAGCAATAAGGCTGTGTAACTTAAATAGAGTATAATGATAATACAATAGCAGAGTCTATATTATATATGTGACAGATCAGTGATGTAATAATGCATGTATGAAATAAATAAAAGGGGTTCAATCGATAAGATCGAACTAACACTGATTTTTCTTGTCACAAACCTGTTTTACAAGCAGCATAGTATTACTTGAGGTGTGTAAAGGGGTAGAGAGACGTTCGAGTAGGAGAGGCAAGGTGAAGGAGACAAAGTTGAAGTATTTGTACACGTGTTACCATGCAAACCTCTGATTGATTTTACTTTCACTTTGAATTATGAACTATATCAGCAAATATTTCAAATCAAAGGTAATTGTTATTAATTTGTAATTATTAAGTACATAATAGAAAAGAAGTTGATAAGTTAGCCAAATAGCAAAAAAGGCAGTTAAATTATATTAGAAATCACTGTAAGATTAGCTGGTATTCTCACATGTTAAAGCAAGTTTGCTGCGAAAAAATAATGAAATCACATACATACCTGTTCTGTTGCCTTGAAGTAAGTTAGGCTGTGAAATTTTTTTTTTTTTTATATGCTAGTGAACTTGATTTTGTTATATCTAACACTTTTTCATTCTAGCATATACTAATGCTTGATTATGTACTGAATTTGTTGTCTATATTCGTCTTTAAATCTTCTCACACTATACAACTTCTTTCTAATTTTCTGGTAGAGTCATAATTCTTTTAAATCATTTGATATGCTACTGTATTATTTTGCATTAAAAGCTTTTGTTATTTATAACAGCCAAGTTTACCATAAGTCAAGTCTCACTCGGATTTTCGCTGATCAGGTTTTACTATAAATAAACTTTATACAATCAAAATTTTATGATCAAGTTTTGCCAGGTTCAAATCTTTTTTGAATGAAGATAAAGTTCTGTTGTAAATGTGTACAGATAAAAATTTTCCTAAAAGGATAGAAGAGTTTTAAGTTTAAAGATGTCAAGTAAAAGAGCAAGGATAGCTATTAGTAGCAGTCTAAAACAGGAAATTTGCAAATATAACAATAAATATCTGAATGAAACTTATACAAATATTGCTCAATACTTTAATCAAAAAGATTCAGTTTTAAATCTTGAATGCTCAACTATTTCAAAAATATTAGAAAAAAAAAAAAAATGGTTGGCAATTACTGATACCACCGTAACTGTTTTTTGGCATAAAAAAGTTAAATTTCCCATGTTAGATAAAGCTATGCAATTATGGGTTGAACAAGTTGTAAGCAATAAAATCTTTTTAACACAAGTGATTATTAAAGAAAAGGCAAGTTTTTTTGCTCAGGCATTAGGCTTACCAGATAATGCAC